AAGGGCGCTCAATGCCCGAAGAAGAAAACGATAACTCAGGCTGATTAAATTGCCTTGCAAAGTGTTCAGCCCATCGCTCCAGGCGTTTTGACAAACCGTGGATGGGTTGCCCACTCTCGTCGCGTATGGTCTCGCTAACACCAGGTATCCCGCTGCCTGTTTCCCGTATCAGACGGAATAACTTACGATGATTACCAACGGCAGCGGCTGTTTCCATTTCCGATGCACGATGAGACCACCAGATCTCGCGGTCCTTCTTCAGGCTAGCACGTAGTTTTGCCCTGACATTTTTGCGAGTCTCATTGTATTCGTTTCCAGCCGGAATACGTCGGCGAGCATCCATAAGTTCCAGAGACTGCGTAGAGACCCAATGTCCGGTGTGGCAATTTGCTTTGCCACATGAAGACATGCCTGCTAACAGCAACGCTTGACGAATATGCGACCAGTGATCTTCAACGGTGTTTAGTGGACGCTTACTCAGCCCAGATGTCAGCGCACTTTGGTACACATTCAGAACATCTGGCTTCGCCAACTGGCTCGTATCAATCCGTTCGCTTCGACATTGCGGACGTTCACCGAAACGCACCAGGAGATCGGCACAGACAAGTGCGTGGTCAGAGTCCACGCTCATGCTCCAAATCGAGCGACAGTTTTGGAGACAGTCTCTCCAGCGGTAACTGATCGCGATATGATCGATTTGCGTCCATGGCTGGCCCGAGGCTGGTGGCCGCCAAGTCACGCTTCTGCGGGTGCTATGTCGAAAGTAAGTGCTCGCAAGAGAGGCGAGCATCTTTACACAGCTGTAGCAAGCGCTCACCGTTATCATTACGGGAGCTTACACCATGTTGGCCGCCCAGATGAAGCTCATCAGAGGACAATTTTCCGACTTGGGCGTTTAGGTCGCCAGCCAACATCACAGTATCCGTGCTTCTTCTGTAACGAAGGAGCTCGTGAAGTTGCTGATAGAAATCATCTTTTACCGAACCAGTGCTACAGTTTGTAGGGGCGTAGGCCGCAATGACAAACAGGCACCGTTTGTCCCCTCGCGACTTCGTGGCACGGAACGAACCAGCTAATGTAACGGCGCACATCCTACTGTTTACTGGTATCCAATCAATCGGAACAGCTTCAGCCCGGGGACTCAAAACAATGCCGACGCTAGCTTGACCGGCATTGGAAGCTGCATCATCGCCAGGCAGGCGCAATGAGAATGTGCCGCGTGTCGCATGTGGGGGATCGCAGGGTAAGCAGGGAGCTCGAACCTTGCAGGTGGGTCTCCGATAAGCAGCAGATATCGATCGAGAGGGTCTCTAATGTTCGGGCAAGTGCTGCCTGTTGGCCAGTCTATAGCAAAGTGCGCACGTTGAGGCATGACAATCTTAGCGAGACACGAGGACTCCAAAGGGAAACGGATGAACTGACGTTGTCCGCATGGTTGAACATGGACTTCACGACTGGACTGGAGCGACGCAGTGCGATTGTGTGTGAGCTGAAATTAGAAGACAAGCGACTATTGAAATAAGCTGGGGAAGGCCAAGAATTGGGGGATTGAAAATGAAGGGATATAAGTAAAGTTGGAGCGGGACGATAAGGATAAAGAAGCGCAAAAAGGGGGATAAGAAGACTGGAAGGCCTGAGCAGTAGCATCCATACACCTATCCACCCTGCTCGATACAGCAGATAGGGCGCCGTTCGCAAGAAACATCGGCCCAACAGACTTCCGGGAGGTTGAAATCCCCTAGAACTAAACACTTATTCGCAGACTGAGTGCGAATAAAGTCAAGTATCCCCCTGGAAAAACTTCCAGGACTTCTGTATATCACTATAACTGTAAACTGGGTAGAGGAAGTGCACAAAACAGCCGATAGGGCTTCAACAGTCTGATCCGACGACTGGAATGTGCAGGTCCTCAACAATTCTAAGTTACAACTCATATACAGTACAACGCCTCCGCCTTGGCGACCAACGGAGCAATCAGTTCTAAGCAGCGCGTAGCCAGGTAGATACACCTCACTGTCCGTGATATCCGGAGACAACCACGTCTCAGTGAAAGCAAGTGTCGGGACGAGATTTGTCTACAAGTAGACCTAAGTCGTGCACCTTGTTCCTTAGGCTACGCACGTTGCTAAGTACTACCTCAAGGAAGTCGGCACGAACATCCCTGGGTCGTGCCCCATCAGGATTGGTTCTGATAGGGCGGAAAGTAACTTCCGGCTGACCACCTGAAAACCCACCAGACGGAGGCCTTGCTCACCAGCCGCCCGTCTAGTTTTGAGGTCTTTGATAGCTTCCTTTAACTTCAGTCTATCTGCCAGTGGAAGGTCTGGCTGAACGCTGACACCACTACCCTTAAGTTTGAACGCAAACCGCTGTAATGATTTGCGTTCCTCCGGGGTAGAAAGGACTACGCGAAGTAGTCGGGGTCGCGGATTTGGCGTAGCGATAGGGACGTTCCCCAATCTGGTCAGCTTTCTGACAGTGACACCAGGGAAGCCGGGTGGAAGCAGCTTGCTGACACAGTTTCAGCCACTTGATGTCATCCAAGATGCGTTCCCTTGGGAGAGCGGCCGCAGATTCAGTAACATTACGGAATATAACGCTACTATCCGTGAAAGAGTCGGCACGATGGGGAGTGTTTACCCCACGTGCCTTGGAGTCGACACCTATGCCAGCTGTTTTCACCACTGGCGGTGGGACTGTCCCTGTCTTCACAAACCACGCCACTCGGCAATGTCTATTCTAGGCCCACAGATTCTACTACCAGACTCATGCACAGCTGAGACATGAGTAACTGGATCATAAGTCCGATCGTGCATCAAGCGACGACCAATGTCTGCTAAGCACACGCAGTGGAAGCACGGAGCGTCGGATCCGCCATTTGCAATCAATGATTTTTCCACAGTGTACTTTCGGTACACACGGTTGGATGTGGTTGGATGTAAATTTGGGGCCATCGGACGCATGTGAGTGTTTAGTATTAAGTTAGGATGTTTGTTGAAATGTTGAGAGCTAGAGTTAGAATCAAGATATCAAGCGGTTTAAATGCGTTACGGTGTTAATTCATTTGCCCGCTTCAAGCGTAGCAGCCATGGTGGATGACTCGTCTGTATTCCGACGTGTACTCAAGGGTTTTTATCGTCGATGAAAGATGATCTGAAACTGTTTTCGGTGGAAACGGCGACATCGTTTATTCGTCGGAAGATTATAACTGCGAAGGCGTACCAGGGGGAGACTGGACAGGTGCCACCAGAAGGTGTAGTGTACCGGAAAACAAGCACTTTCAGTATTTTGTAACTGGATTTTACGATTGTTTTAACCTTCGAAACATCCATTTGTTTTACTGGCTGCACATCTGTGGACACAAACCGTTTTGGTGAGTACCTCGCTGCACGTTTTCTCGCTCTATCTGATTCGCTTCCTATCAAGTACAAGTTCAAGTTCAAGTTCAAGCGGGACTGGAACGATAGGATTATCCCGTGAGTGTTCCTTCTTCGGCGGGTCGTTAAACCTGGAGTTAGCGTACTTTGAAATACTGATGGACCTAAAACAAAGACCGCGTCACACCCTGTCCAACCAATTAATGCCCACGTATCCTGCCCTAGCAGTCTCTGCTGGGTCGGTTACGTGAAGTAAGAAAGAGAAAAAAGTAAACGCAGAAGGCAAAAGAGCAAGTGGTAAGAGCTAAGCAAGTGGAATACCAAGATATTTGAGTCAATAAAAAAGAACTGAAAAGTGAAGGTGAGTCGGCTAGGAAAAAGGAAAGGTTTGCTGTTGCCACCCAAGAGCATCGAGCTGGCGCGCAAAACCCTTAACTGTAGGTTCCCTAACCACATGATCTGGAAGCGAATTCCAGCGATCTATAACTCGGCGCGATAGAGGAGTTTCCGTCCTGATCCTATCAGACCGTGATTTATACAATTTCAGTGGGTGACCGCGGAGACTAGGTAACGTAGCGGGACTAAAAAGCTCTGACAAGTCCGGGCCAAGCTTATCCGTCAAAATACAATAAGTGAGAATCAGGTCCCCTCTTATCCTTCGGTAGTGCATGGAGTACATACCCAAACTGAGCAAGCGTTCAGGATACGTCTGTCCCCGTAGACCCTGCACTAACCGAGTGCACACTCGTAACACCCTCTCCAAGTCCATTTTGTCTCGGTTAAGACATGGTGGACAAGCCTGAATACAATATTCCAGGTGGGGTCGGACGAATGCCGAAAATAGCTTCACAAACAACTTGGCCGTTAAGATTCCGAAAGAGCGGCGGATAAACCACATCATACGAAACCCTCGACAAGCAGCCTTCTTCCAGTTGTCTCCAGAATGAAGTGCTGATGCGTGTACGACGCAGATTCAGTAACGTTACGGAATATAAC